TTCTGGATAACCCTCAAATATGTCATTATCCCATCTTGGACCAAATGAGCAACAAGTTTCATCTCCCTCTTAAGTTCTCAGGGAGATGCTTGCTGAGATACTTGCAGTTTCCATTGTGTTCTCCTGGGAACAGCTGAGGCTTTCATGACTGGAATCAGGAGAATGCTGACCACAAGATTGTTCTTTTTGATTGACAACCCAACCCTATGTGGGTTTAGATTTACAGTATCAGCAGCTCTGGCCTTGGTCACAGCCTTACTGTGGCACATTGTGCAACCATGGATACCTCCTGCATATGTGTTCTCTGCCTTACAACTTGATAATGCCTAGCATCTGAGGTAGCACTCTGTCCTGTTGGCCCACTTTGAGCCTCTCACTCTCATTCAGAATTCCCAGTTACCTAGGCAATAGCACCATTTTAGACCATCCTGAGCCCCCATGTGCTTAACTCTGTATGACCCTTAAGAAAAGTCCAGAGGAGAAGGCAACCAAAGTTTCACCCCCTGAGCTGACTGGTAAAGTATAATCCCTTTTCAGGAGTCTGGGGAGAACAATCCTAACCCAGCATGAGCCAAGAGAAGTGAGCTGCTAAACCCTCAAGGACTGTAGAATCATGGAAGCACCTGAAAGAGAGCTGAAGTTGGGCTTTAAATAATGACATGAATTAACTTGACCTTCTTGGACCTGGCCCAGTGCCATACTTTCAATGCAGAGTGGCAGGGTTGGGTCTTAGGAACTCTCCAAGGTTTCCACCTGAATAAATAGTGAGCAGGAAAGACTAACATTCTGCTGTCCGTGGTGCTGAATGTTCTGGTCCTGCACAATTACCTCATTTTTTCCGTAAATATTGCCTCTGCACTCTCCTCCTCCCTCAAAAACTCCCCCACCTCATTTCTTGTTGTTTTATTTCCAGATACCCAATTACCATATCACCACCTTTCTGCCATATTCCCATTCATACCTCACAGCCAAACTACCTGTTTCACTCTTTCCCTTTGGTAGTTCTGTGCCAGTTGGATTCAGCTCACCAAAAATGGCCCCTCATAGTCTCTTTCTCTTATGACCTCTCATCATGTGTCAAATATAGAGGATCCTAACTTCAGAGCACTAGAAAGTGATGTAGGGATGCTTGGATTTGTCACAATCGCACAAGGGTCCTGGCAGGTTAAGAAGTCCACACAACAAATACTTGACCCATCTGAGATGCCAGTAGCTTCACTGAGAAGCAATTCATATTCCTTTTTCTGAGATGGGAAACTGAAGCCAAGAGGGAGGGGACTTATTCAGAGTCACTTAGCCAGCCAGAGATAGAACCATAGTTAGAATATAGTAACTTCCTTACCCCCATCTTCTTCCAGCCACGCTCCTGGACCACTGAGGTGACTGCCTAAACCAGGCTCTCCTGTCAAAATTAGTGCCAGTATCTGAAAGGGAATAGTCCATTATTTTAACAGGCTAAGTCCACTCTAGGTAGCAGAATCCTGCCATATTGCTGGAGATAAGGACTAAGCTTCCCAGAATACAGAATCCAGGAAAGGAAGGCCCTCCCTCCTGCATCATTGTGACTCTAATGCCCCTGACACAGAATACCACACACCAGCATCATTGATCTTCGTAGGGACACCTGTGTTGCTTTGGTAACAGGCACCCACTTCGCTGCATCCAGCACCACAATTCTGGCCTGGCCACCTGCCCTCAGATTTCCTGTGCCCTTCCTCCTGTGGTTCCTGGAGAGTACTCTTCCTGTCTTATTGTCTTCATGTCCAAGGCTGTGCTTGAGGGCTCAGTGTTCTCATTAGCCAGCTCCTCTAAAGAGTTGGAAACAGCTGTCTTCCAGTTCCCTGGCACCCAGTGTCTGCAGCCAGAACTGCATCCCCAAGCATGGCTGAACCCCTAAAGGGAAGCTCCCTCCCACCACCACATCCCACATGCCAAACCCTGCTTTTCAAAAGTTTGGTAGATATGAGACAATGCTCTTCAGCTCATGGTACTCAACAGCTCACTCCTGGGAGGGAATTCATTGACTCCAATATTGTCCCTGACAACTTGTCTATCTCCAAGAAGCTCACATTCAATGACAAAGGAGAAAAAGATTAAGTCCAAAGAGATAAAGTCCACAGTGTAGTGCGACAAATGCTCTAAGAGGGAATAAATTGTGAAGTCAGTTGCAGGTCATGACCAGAGTTCATGTATATAAATACACAGAATTAATTAGAATAGAAGAAGGTACTAGAGCTATTGTCAAGATAAATTTTGCTATGTGAGACTGCATTCAGTAGTGTGGCTCATGTGTATTGAATTGTGGTATGAGATGATATATTGCTGTGGTTTATGGGCAGTAGTGTGAAGTCCTGTGCTTCAAGAGATAGGAAGATATAGGGGAGGTGTTTAGAGAGTAAAAGAAAGAGATTGTTTTCCCCAGGAGAAAATAGAATTTGAGCTGGGGTTTAGAAGGTAGATAGTGAACACTGGGTGAGAAGCAGAAGGGTGTTTCAAGGGGTGCTTTAGCATGGAGCTGAGTATGTGCCAGGCCTGTTATTGTAAATGTCACTTACCATGTAGAGTGGTGGAAATGGGTCAGGAATTCTAACCTGAGGCCCAGGTATTGAGACCAGGAAAGCTGGACTCTGTTCTCAAGAATGATAAAAAGCTATTGATGGATTTTAAGGAGAAACCAACATGACCATTCTGCCTATAAAGGCAAAGCATGGCAAAAATTAAGGGAAGAAGAAAAGCAGGGAAACAGCCAGAAGGTTGCTGTGACTAGGTAGAACATCTAGAGAGAGGGCAGAGGAATTGGCAGAAGGCAACTAGGTTCCAGAAAAAGAAAACAAAAAGATAGAATTCATGAAATGGGACAGAAAAGGTCTCAGATTTGCAGCATCTTTATCCATTTACAAGTCCTCCCCATGGTCAGTGCTACCATGAGTTATACTTGGGAAACAAGTATTCCAAGGTCTTGTCCTTGTGGATTCCCAAACTCTGATCAGACACCAAACTCACATACCTGAACAACTCAGATCAGGTCATGAGTAAGCACTATAGTGTGAAGCACAGGCTCTCAAAGCTGGGGAGAGCTAAGGAGAGGAGAGACCATGAGATGGGGAAAATCAAGGTGGTCTTCCTGGAGGAAGGGCTCTAGCACTGGGCTTCAGGGAAACTGGATAACTATGAATGTATCTCCAGATGACAAACTGTGTTCCTTTTTTGAATCTCAGCCAGTACCTGGGTTTGTCTCATTTCATAAGTGTCTCTTGAGAGGCAGTCTACACCCCCATTAGGCAAGGATTGTTCATTTGACAAAGGACTTGCCCTCCTAAGATACTTTCACTCGAGTCCTTTTGGCTTCACCCCTTTCTTTCCTTTAGTTCATATTACCTTTGTTTGTATGTATCAAATTATTTTATACAGTTTCCACCAGTGAAACAAACCTGAAGAGAGGGAAAACTCATGGGGAATTGGGTGTGATGGTCAGGGCAAGAAGCAAGTGTCCTCATATTGGGGTCAGAATTGGTGGTGATCAGCTTTGGCCTGATGACACCCACAGTGGCCAGCACGCTGCTTGAAGTGGGCATCGCAGGGATAAGCCCAGGAGGCAGGAATAGGATGGTGACAACTCCGGGTTTGAAAAATTTGTGAGTTCAGAGCACCAATTAAAAAACAATTAGGCTAATAGAATCTCCCCCATTGTTTCTGCTCTTCAGCAAGTTCTTGTTAATAATTCCATTGCTTTTAACTCACTGTCAGCCCAGTGGAAGTGGGTTTTTTAAAGTAACTTAATTATTTCAGAACTCACTGCTTTCAAGAACAATCTAAGACTCCTTCTCCAGCCCTGTGACTCTGCGCTCCATGAGCTATTTATTTTTAATTGGCTTTATGTTGTACATATAACATAAGCCAAAAAGAGAAATGTACAAGTAACTTCCCATTAGTCAGAGATCAGGACCCTGGTACAAATCACCCCCAGACAAGAACTTGTAATCAAGGTGTGCAGGTAAGATTCATATTAATACAAAGGGTATAATGCAGAGCAGAGGCTGGCAGAAAGCTCTGGAGTTCTTACATGGGAGGGTTTCCTCCTGATTGAGGTTGAGGGTGAACTCCTTGGAGGAGGTGATTTCGGAGCTGGACATTGAAAGTTAAATGGGGATTTGAAGAAGGGCAAGGATAAGTAGTCTTTGGCTCCTCTCTATTCTCCTTTGATAAAACTTGCACTTCCCTATGTCAGGCATTGATGCTCTGAAATGTCTCTTCATGCATCACATTCCAACTTCCACATGGATGCCATCCTAAGACACTTGTCACTCATGTCCAGGAAGCTACAGCTCACAACCAGCAACACGGTCAGAGCCCAGCAGGGTCTCCCGTCCCCAGGCACTGCCACTCAGCAACTAGGGGTTAAAACATAAACATGAAGCTAAAGCTTCCAGGCTTCTGCTCAACATTTATCCCTGGCAAACAGCTGAATCTCTTTACCCCTCTGTTTCTTTCTCTGTAAAATGGGTTGATATGAGGATTGAAGAGACAAGCATGTATCAAGCATTTAAAAGAGGACCTACTATGTGTGCGATAAGCACTTACTATGCAGATGGTAGCTGTGATTAAACTGGAATTGCTAATACTGATGAAAAAATATGGCTCTCACAAGCATAAGATGATTGAAGTGCAAAGACGAAAATTATTTAGTGTGCTCAGCAAAGTGAATCTTCTGCTCCAACCCAAGACTCAAACAAATTTCAAACAAAATTCAAGAAAGTGTGCAAAAATCCTAGTCAGAGATTGTATCAAAAATGGCTCTTAACGTGTCCTTTAGCTGTCATTCATGTAAAATTTTTGTCCAGTTTTCCCATAAATGAATTTAACATGAACTTTCAGACATGCTTGTGTCCTAGCATAGAGAAGTTGAGATGCATGATCTTTATCCTGTGGGCACCTGGGAGCCAGGGAGTGTTCTTAAAGAGAAGAGTGACCTGCTTCTTGGCGGTTGGTGTCTTTTATAGGAAATGCCTACCGGGAGTGCTTGGAGAATGGCACGTGGGCCTCACGGATCAACTACTCACAGTGTGAGCCCATTTTAGATGACAAGGTAAGCGACCCCACCCAACCCAACCCTGGTCCCAATGCAAATATTGGGTTGTCAGAAAAGTCATGATGAATTTTTGTTTGAAAGACATAAACAAAATATAGCATGGCTTTTCTGACAACCCGATATTAGGACTTAGATGGAGCACCCCAAGGATGGGGCAGAACCAGGGCTGGTGACACCAGGCCATGCCTGTCTGCACCTCCTTCCCTGTGCCTGTGTCCATGACAGGCGAGGGAGACAGGACATGGCATCCACTTTCAGGAGACATAAAAAGGGAATGACCACATAACCAGTGCTCCCCTACACCTAACAGGCTGTGTGTGACATCCCTCCTCCTCCTTTTTGCCTGTTTCCCACCTAGCCTACCCTCACCCCCCATAGTAACAAGTGCAGCCCCGGAAGAGAAATGCCATAGAGCTGTGTCCCCCTCAGACCCTTCCCTGCTCCTGCAGTGACTGCCTCCTCTCTTTGAAGCAATGCCTCATTCTGACCTAAAATGACACATCCCACCTCTATCCACCTCCTCTTTGCCTAACACATCCCCTGTTAGGGCTGGAACTTTCCCCCCAAAGAAGTCCAATTTCAGAGGGAAAACCTTTGCCAACTCTGTGAAAGCGATTCTACTAAACATGAGCAGTGGGTGTCTGCAGTGAGGGCGGCAGGAGTGACCACAGGAAGGTCAGATGAGAGAGAAGGAGGCTTTTTCCTCTACTGTCCTCTCCTTGCCGCTTTATGGCCCCTCTGAGCAGTGGCAAGCAAAGTGGGGCTGAGGGGGCAGCCTGCCCTGGCAGGAAGGTTGCTTTGATTGCTGCTGTTGTTTAGAATTGCCAGCACATGGTGATACTAAAAGCCGCACCCACTTTTTAAAAAATAATATAATAGTTTATTTTTACATCATTTGTGCCCTTTTCCATCTCAGTTGTAATCCCCATGGGCTTCCCATCATCAAATCACCCTCTGCCATCACCATAGTCCAGTCCACTTCCCCTCCACCCGTGTTTTTGATCCCCACTCCAACCTCATAAATTGTCTCTGGTATATAGTTGTTCATTATTATTATTATTTCCCCCCCTGGTTTCTTTGTACTCCTGCTATGAGTGAAACCATCCAGTATTTTTCCTTTTTTTTCTGGCTTATTTCACTAAGCATAATCTTTTCCAGCTTCATCCATGTTGCTGCAAAAGGCATGTGTTTATCTTTTTTGATTGCTCAGTAATATTCCAGTGTATATATGTACCACATCTTTTTAACCCAGTCATCTACTTTTGGGCATTTGGGGTGATTCCATGTTGTTCCTACTGTAAATAAAGCAGCAATAAACATGGGGGTGCAGGTGCCTTTTTGAATCAGTGTTTTTGTATCTTTTGGCCACACCCACTTCTATCTGGTGTCAAGATTCATAAACTCTCTATAGACAGTGCACCCCCACCCATGCCTCACTGAGCCCAGGCCACCCCAGAGCTCTCATAGGTTGTTGCTTCTGAGGCAGGAGGGCAGATTGGCTCTTAGCATATGCCAAAGCCTGGGTGAGGAGAGAGCTATGTTTACCAGCTGGGGAGTGAGTGAGAACTAAACACAGGCGTGGTGTCTCCCAGGGGAAGCAAAAAGAAAAGAAAACCCCAGGCCCAGACGTTTCTGAGAATACACTGTCCAAATCTGCCCCCGAGTGCATATTGGGAGGCCTGACAGCAGCCACTTACACACAATCCTGCGCTCTGTACTCGCGCGCTCTACAGCTGCCCTCCAAGGTGGTGACTCTTGGGGCCGCTTGTGCCCCTGGCAGGACACACAGGTCACTGCTACAGCACCCAGCCCTGCCCTCCACATGCCCCTGGCCTCAGTCTGCTTGTCTGTCTGTCCATCCAGCAGAGGAATTACGAGCTGCACTACCGCATTGCCCTCATCATCAACTACCTGGGTCACTGTGTCTCTGTGGTGGCCCTCGTGGCTGCCTTCCTGCTGTTCCTGGTCTTGCGGTGAGTCTGCCCCATGCCTGCTGTCCCCTTCCTCCTCCTGCAGCACTTGATTCACCTCTCACACATACCCACCTATATCTGGAGGCCGTGGAGCCAGTGGACAGAGGGGGCTTGTGGGAGGTGCCAGGGCTAGGCATCAAGAGGCTGAGGGGAACTGGCCTGAGGGGCCAGCTGTGCCATCACAGGGGGAGAGGCTGCCCTCACTCCAGGCCGAGTTTCTGCCAGGTTTCTACGCCCCGCCCCATGCCCCCACTGACCCTGACGCCAGCTCACCCTAACCTGGGCCTCCCACAGGAGCATCCGCTGCCTGCGGAACGTGATTCACTGGAACCTCATCACCACCTTTATCCTGCGAAATGCCACGTGGTTCCTGCTGCAGCTCATCGACCATGAAGTGCATGAAAGCAACAAGGTTACAGGGTGGAGGCTTGGGGCTGCGCCAGGACTCTAGGCACTGGGGCACCTGCCTCTGACCAACTCACATGTGCAGACTGCACCTGAGCTCTTCTCAGCCAATCATTGCCCACACTTAGGGGCAGGTGGTGGGGGAGCTGGCAGGCCAGGAGCAGCACACCCTGCACTAGGCTTGGGTTTCTATTATGTCCCAATTCCCATGTTAGAAATTCAGGATCACCCCCAAGAAAGACCACCCCCCTTAGAGCAAAGAAAGTGAAAATCATCCTCTAAGCTTTATCTCATTATCCCAATGAGAGACCTGTAGGGAGTTTTTCCCCATTACACAGACGTGGAGACTGAGGCTGGGAGGTGAAATGATGCTGCTAACCTGGACCCACAGGATCTTGAGTGGGCCACCCCAGGTGTGAGCTGCCTGCCTTGGATTTGTGTCCACTGTGTTACACTGTGTCCAGGCCGTTGTCAACTGGAGACCAGAGTGGGGAGCAAGCAGAGTGCCTGGCTTACCATTATAATGAGACTTTGAAATACATTTTCTCTGGCTGACCCCACCTGGGCAGCCAGCCGGCCTGGCTTGACCCTTAACTTGCCCCACATCAAGCCTTTCCTCTGGGAGACCAATGTCAGTGCACTTTTGGGTGCCTTGCAGCCCTATATGGCTTCAACTGATAAGCCCTCGCTGTAACTTGGAGGAAAATCAAGGTGGGGAGGAGGGGATCTTCAGCATTCCACCTCAGCAGGACTTTCTCAGAACAGAGACATCCCCATGGGCCCCAAGTTCAGGGGGCAGCGATCAGATGAGCACAAATTACATGGCAGCCAGCGCTGTGGGAACTGGGCAGGGAGGGAATGGACTGTCCAGGGAACCAAGAGCACCTCAACACATCGCTCCTCCGCACACCCCACATGCCAACCTCAGCTCCACGGTGTCCTGGGGATGAGACCATGGGACAGATGGCGGGGCCTGCTGGGTCTGTTAAAAAAGGTGCTGGCTGTGTCTCGGTGGCTCTGGCGGGCTCCCAACCGCCCCTGCTGCACCCCCAGCATCCTTCTACCAGGTGCGTGGGAAGGTAACCCTGCTCAGACAGACAGGGACAGATTCCCCTCTGCTGGGAAAACAAATAGCAACAACATTCATTCTCCCCAAACCCTAGGCCTTGGAGAATCACCTCCATGACTGCAGCCCACCTTCATAGAGCCTGGCCTGTTGTTTAGATAATAATTTCCTTTTAATTGGCACACTTTACTTTCCTTATGAATTTCACATTCTGTCCCTGTGTGGAGACCAGTTTGACTTTATATGATTTGAAGGTGACCTTCCCCACCTGTATAAAATGACGAAAATACATTGGAACTGTGCAGCCTGTAGAGAGCTGGGAGCCAGAATCCCTTTATTAAGAAGCCTTGGAGAGAAGTCAGAGACACAGCTCTAGCAGAGGCGACTGGCTCTTTACCTCCACCCCAAACAGTGCAAGAGAACTGATGAAGGGTGGAGCTCCCCAGATTGAGACTTGAGGGTAGTTTACGCCATGTCCAGAAACTAGAATGAGCAGCCCTCCATCAGCATCCATTTGTCCCTGGGGTCCCAGGCTAGCCTTGACTACCACCCACCCCATGCAGGTCTGGTGCCGCTGCATCACCACCATCTTCAACTACTTTGTGGTCACCAACTTCTTCTGGATGTTTGTGGAAGGCTGCTACCTGCACACAGCCATCGTCATGACCTACTCCACAGAGAGCCTGCGCAAGTGGCTCTTCCTTTTCATCGGATGGTGTGAGGGTTCCAGGAGGCCAGAGAGCCTACGGGGGAGAGACTTCCATGGACAGGGTCACCGCCCTTCATCTTGGGTCTAAAGATGGGAGCCCTGCCCTGCCCACTACCCCCAGGGCAGTCCAAGCATGCAGCCACTCCCCTCCACGCTGGCAAGAGAGAAGGAAACAGTCCCTCCAAGAGAACATTCCACAAATAGCCCTCCTCCCCCTGTTAGGATGGTTGGTCCAGAGACTTTTACCTCTGTCCTTAAGAGAGAAGCCAGCAGACCCCACTTCTCTATGACAACAATCCAGACAATCATAATAATTCCTTTATCTCCCTGACCTGCTTGGAGGGGTTGGCTGGGAGTCGGGGAGGGGCTTGGGGCAGGGCTCTCTGGGGTCAGGGAGGGCCTGTGGTTGGAAGACTGGGGACATGATCCCAATCCCCTGTAGTCCTCCCATCTGTGTTCTGTATGAGGGTCCCTGTTCATCTGCCTGCCCACTGTACCCCTTGTCTGTCCTTCTTTCAGGCATCCCCTGCCCCATCATCATTGCCTGGGCGATGGGCAAACTCTACTATGAGAATAAACAGTAAGTAGGCCAGGCCGATGGGGGTCAGGGTGGCGGTGGACCGTGCTAGGGGCAGTCAGCCACAGGCTCAGGCCAAGCTGCAGGGAAGGAATCGCAGCCATGCAGGGCCAGATTCGCTTTTCTATTGTTCTAAGGTTGAAAATTACCCTGGCACAGAGCACTCATGGGACAGGGGTCAAGTCAACTTTGCTGAACTGAATTAGGAATCCTGGTGCCCTGAAGCACCCCAATGCCTGAGCCCTTTGGCCTTCGTAAGGCTTCCTGAGTGTTGACTGGCTGGTGTGGTGTAAGTACATAGAGGCCAAGGACACTTCCAAGGTGTCTCCATTAGCATTTCACAGACCCCAGCCAGGGCAGTGGTTGCTCATTCTACTCTGATAATCCAGTCTCTGCCCAGGGGCTGTGTCCAGTCCTGAGCTCCTTCCTGCACAGAGACTTTGGCTTACTAGGCCATGGCCCAGATGACAGCAGCTCTAGCCATGGACAGCCAGGGAGAAACTGGGAATTTTGGTGCTACCTGAGGAGAAACTGGGGAACATAGTCTCTGTAGACAGAGACTGCACGGTCTCTGAGGCTGGGAGAACAGACAGGGTAGGGATAGCTGGGTTCCAGGAGTGAAACCTTAAGAAGAGCTCCTAATGATAAAAGCTGCCACAAAATAAGAAGACAGCCTTGGAAGATAGTGTGTTACCTGTGAAAAGGCTAATTAAGCACAGACCAGAATTCTAGTGGCGAGAGGTAGCAGGGGGAAGTCTTACGGAAGGCAGTGCGCACTGATGAACTCAGGCTGTAGAGGACAGAGGCAGAATTTCACCAAGTCCACAGGACCCTTCTGAGGTGCACTAAATGTTGCTGCCAGTGCCACGCCAAAGTGGGTCCTGGCCCACCCCTACTCCCAGACCTTGGAGTTTTACCCCCCAGTGCCCTGGAGAATAACAAGCCTCGGCTAGCAGTGGGTCCCCTTGGCTCTGCTCAGAGAAAGGGGGTTTAGGCAGGAGAGGGTTCCTGCCTCCACATCTGCTTTGTGCTCTGAGTGCCTGGCAGGTTCCAAGCGACCTAAGAACAGGCAGTACAAGCCGTTGGACTCTGGATCAGCAAGGGGGAGCCTTGTTCTCTTTTTATTCATGAGCCTCTGAATGCCCAGCCCTGAGCTCAGCAGCCTGGAGCGGGGCTGGGGATTGGGGAATCGAGAGTAGGGATAAGGGAGGGGATGAGGCCAGCCTCATGTACGGCAGAAGGCAGGGATGAAGTGAGGCAGTGGGGCTGGGCTGTATATCCAGGCTTTGGGGAAAGGGACAACCTAGAGACTGAGTCTCAGGAAGGGTCAAACTGGAGGACCGTGGGCCCAAGCTGCAGTGGTCTCTAGAATCTAGTCCCCAGGCCACTTACAGCCACCCTGTCTTTGCAGGTGCTGGTTCGGCAAGGAGCCCGGCGACCTGGTGGACTACATCTATCAGGGGCCCATCATCCTCGTACTCCTGGTAGGTCCTCAGTGAGGCCAGCGGGGTGGGGCACCAGGACAGCAGAGGCGCCGGGAAAGGGTGTGGCTGCCCCTGAGGCAGCCCCTGCACACAGTGCACCCCATTCTCTCCCCCTCATCCCCACACTCTGTGTACCATTGGAACCCCTCTTCCCACCCTCTGAGCCTTGGGCTTTTCTCTGGCAGAGATCTGACAGGCAGATTTCTCATGCCCTCTCTCATTTGAGTCCCTTTGCCAAGTATGGTGCTGAGACAGGCAGGCCAGGGGCACTGAGTGGCAAAGAAGTGTGTCCGGGCCTCTTTTCAGGCCAAATCCACATCCCTCTCCACCTGCAGCAACCCCCACCTGGGCCCAGCCCACCGCCCCCAGCCTGGAGCAGTGTTACCAGAATGGAGCGTAATGAGCAATTGTTCCAGGTTCAGCTCCCGCCCTTTGCCAAATGTATTTGCATCTAAGGTATAATTGCCACCGTGTCTTTAATCCACAACGAGCTTTAATTAAGGTAGAGTTTAAGTAGAGGCCTCATTCTGCAAAAAACGAACACATTACATATCATACATTAAAAAAGAGAGACATACAAAATAGCCCCATAAGAAATTGGCATTTACGTAAGACTTATTTCAGGCTCAGTCATTTCAGCTCCTCTATGGACCAGATTCCTTAAAGGGCCACCTGCTTCATGTGGGGAGCTGGAGGGAGAGCTGGCTGGCCTCATGTTGCACACAGCAGGTGCCTAAGGGGGCTTTCTGTGGCACACCCAGGAGACAATTACTGTTTTCTCTCTTTTATTTCCTTACTCTCATTCTTGACTTCTCGACCTCACTTGACCTCATCTTTGGTGTGCCCTGCTGCATGTGAACTAGAGATGGCTAGGGAGGTATGCATCCCTCGCCTGAAGTCCTACCATCAGGCGCCATTCATTTCAGAGGCAGAACCAGCCCTTATCAGTGGAGTGAGCACCCCAGTGGATGACTCCATCCCCTGCAGTTGGAGCAAAAGCTCCCTGAGACCCACCTCCTGGCCAGCAGCTGAGAGCCCATCCTGGAGGGAAAGGATTTTTGAAGAACCTGGAACCCAGCCAAGGAAGGCTGGTCTGGTCGCAAACCAAGAATAGCAGGAGCAAGTCTCCTCAGAAGGCTGTTGGACAGCCAGTGGCCAGCACTGAGGGAGGGGGCGGGGAAGGGGAGGTGAACATAAGGGCCCGTGTCAGAACCAAATCCTGCCCTCGTCTTCCAGGCTCCCTCCTGGTCTGCTCTCACCCTCTCAACTTGTGTCTCTCTACTGGCTCTGGTCCCAGGGGAAACCATGTCCTTAGACCTGCAGTCTGCACATCCTCAGTGCCTGAAGGAGCAGAGTGATGCCCAGCTCACAAATGACAAAACAGATCTAAAACGCATCCCAGGTCACCACACTCCTGCCCAAGCTGAGGCTCTGGGGCAGGACTGCTGCCTGCTGTGGCCTCTGGCTACGTGTTCCTGCCAACTGCCATCCCCAGAGCTGCCTTTCTGCTCCTGAGACTCGGGCTTGGACATGGGTTTCTGGGAAGTGAGTCAGCTAGCTGAGTTTACAGGAGATTGTAGTCACTGCTGTTGTCATGGGGAAGGCATGTGGCATTTATTAGGCCCTTGCTGGG